AGCCTGTCAGCTACAAGAGCTCCTGCCGGCTTGGAAATATAAAAAGATGTGAAAAGTTTAGGTAGACAGAGAAAGACAAATATATGATTTCACTTATATATAGAATCAAAAAACAATGAATATACTCTTAAATACAGAAAACAAAACAAAAAACAAAACAAAAATAAATACAGAAAACAAATTACTGGCTTCCAGAGGGGAGTGGGTAGGGAGAAGAGAGAAATAGAGGGGATTTAAGAGGTATAAACTTCCAGTCATAAAATAAATAAATCAGAGATGAAAAGTACAGCTCTATGCCTATACTCTTAAACAATGTTTGTAGATGATTTTTAATCAATTCTAAAACTAAACTTTTTTTGCATTTCTCTAAATAGACTGTATGGTCCTTAAAGGTGTAAAAGCACTTATCTTCAATTGCAATGGAAACCAGTGGTTCTTAAAGTGTGATCTGGGGACTCATGGGGGCTACTTTCAGGGAATCCAAAAAATCAACATTGTTTAATACAAAGAGGTTACTTGTCTTTTTCCATGCTCATTCTCTCACAAATATACAACAGAATTTTCAAGAGCTTATATGATGTTAATAAATAATGGGTCTATTGTTGTTTTTGAAAATGAACAGATATTTTAATACTTTCTCAGCTTTAACTACTAATATAAATATCAATAAGTATAACTCAAACACAAGCTTCTAAGGTTCTCAGTATTTTTTTTTTTTTTAAGTATAAAAGGGTGCTGAGGGATGCCTGGGTGGCTCAGCGGCTTAGTGCCTGCCTTCGGCCCAGGGCGTGATCCTGGAGTCCCAGGATCGAGTCCCACATTGGGCTTCCTGCATGGAGCCTGCTTCTCCCTCTGCTTGTGTCTCTCCCCTTCTCTGTCTCTCATGAATAAATAAATAAATTAAAAAGTAAAAATAAAAAAATTAAAAAGATTTATCTTTAAAAAAAAATAAAAGTGTGCTGATACCAAAAAGTTTCAGAGCTACTACTCTAAATAGAATAATGCAAGAATGCCTATATGAAGTGCCCAATAAATGCTTGCTACCTCTTTAGACATATCCTCAAAAGACAACATTTCAGATAATCTCTAATTTGGAAAAAGTCAGTATATTTAGTAGCTAGAGGACACATTACAGTGTACATGACCATTAACTACCTTCTCTGAAGATTCAGGGTCATTTAAAACCCATCACTTGTGATTTAAAACCCATTTATTTGTGATTGAAAAACTATTTCATAGGACTTGTTTGGTATTTTATTTTATTTTTTTTTTATTTTTTTAATTTATTTATTTATGATAGAGAGAGAGAGAGAGAGAGAGGCAGAGACACAGGCAGAGGGAGAAGCAGGCTCCATGCACCGGGAGCCCGATATGGGATTCGATCCCGGGTCTCTAGGATCGCGCCCTGGGCCAAAGGCAGGCGCCAAACCGCTGCGCCACCCAGGGATCCCTTGTTTGGTATTTTAAAATGTAAAAAGATCTCTCTCTCATGTAGAAAGATTTGTCTTAATGTATACTACAAAAGGTTTCAATCATTTTATTACTTTTTAGGGTAAGTCTTACTTCAACCACAGCCAGAAGAAAAATATATAAAATCCAAATATGATTAAAATTTGTAAGTTTCTTTAAATTAAATAGAAAGCACAATGTGACATGTTTTCTAAAATTATGCCAGGAAAAAAAATTATGCCAGGAAAACAATATGATTGTTTCCACAATAAAGTGCAATGTTTTGGATATAACAAGCACAAATGATAGAGGCTTGCCAAGCAGGTCTATAGAAATACAAGGAAAGCCAATCCAAGTTTGCGTTCCTTTCTTATTAACATGTTTTAAGTCATATCAGAAGACACAGAGTTCATTTATAAAGAGTAATTAAAGTAACATGTTATTTTTTGAGGGAAGATTAGTATGCTAATTTTAGAAGGTAAAATACTGCTTAGTAAACACCCAGTCCCTTATGGATTAAAGTACTCAAATGAATGGCATGTTCTAACCATTTAGACTACTACAAGAAAAGCTCTTGAAAGAAAAGACAACTTTAAGAAACTAAAACATTCATATCATAGCACCTTTATCAATGGAAAAACTGCATCTTAAGTAGTAGTGTAGACAGTAAGTTGAGACATTATCTGCAAGAGCTATAAAATTAGTTTTGTTAGGAATCCATTATTCAGGCAAAGAGTTCTCTAAAGATTTAGGCATGCTATGAAAAATGTTAGGATGTACTTTGGTTTCACTGAATGTTTAGGTTGAAAGCTCAATTCAATAGAAAAGTATTTGCTGTTTTCTAGATACAAGTGATATCTGTATCTAAATATCAAGCCCATTAGAATGCATCTGTCAAAGATCTTACTAATAAATCTTTAGATACCAGGGCAGAGAGAGGTACACCATCAAGTGTCAATAGAACCCAACACACAAAGAGTTCTCAAAAAGATATAGCTGCAATTTGTCAATGGATTTTGTTTTCTACTTTCAGGCATACCTTGTTTTGTTTCGCTTTACATGCAGATAATTGCTTTTTTTTAAAATTTTTTTTAATTTAATTTTTATTTATTTTTGATAGTCATACAGAGGGAGAGAGAGAGAGAGGTAGAGACACAGGCAGAGGGAGAAGCAGGCTCCATGCACTGGGAGCCCGATGTGGGATTCGATCCCGGGTCTCCAGGATCGCGCCCTGGGCCAAAGGCAGGTGCTAAACCGCTGCGCCACCCAGGGATCCCCTCTTTTTTTTTTTTTTTTAACAAATAAGGTCTTTCGCAACCCTGGATTAAGCAAGTCTATTGATGCCATTTTCCAACAGCATTTCCTCACTTTGTGTCTGTCACATTTTGCAAATCTGTGCAATATTTCAAACTTTTCATTATTATATTTGTTATGCTGATCTGTGATCAGTGATTATGACTCACTGAGAGCTCAGATGATGGTTACCATTTTTTAACCAATAGGGTATTTAAAGATTTTTATTTATTTATTATTTGAGAAGGAGAGAGGGAGAGAGAGAGAATATGATCAGTAGGAGGGGCAGAGGGAGAGGGAGAAGGAGACTCCCTGTTGAACATGGAGTCCGACATGGGGTTTGATCCCAGGACTTTGGGATCATGACCTAAGCTGAAGGCATATGCTTAACCAACCGAGCCATCCAGGCACCCCTAAGCAATAAAGTATTTTAAAATTAAGGTATATACATTTTTTTTTAGATAACTGTTAGACACTCACTAAATTACAGTAGAGTGTAAACATAACTTTTATAGGTGCTGGGAAACCAAAAAATCCATTTGACTTGCTTTATTGTGGTACTTGCTTTATTACAGTGGTCTGAAACTGAACCCACAAGATCTCTAAAGTATGCCAGTACTATAAAATCCATTATTCAATGGCGAGCAAATCAGAAAATAAAATAAATTGTGTCAGTATGTTTTCCAGAAATGAAATGCAAGGTGATGTCAATGCAGATTTTCAGCCAAATCTGAAGGTCTATATAGATCAATAGCTGTATCCAATCTTTTTTTAAAATTTAAATTCCAGCTAGTTAAGGTACAGTGTAATATTAGTTTCAGGTGTACAATTTAGTGATTCAACACTTCTACATAACACCCAGTGCTCATCAAGGCAAGTGCACTCCTTAATCCCCATCACCTATTTAACCCATCTCCCCTACCACCCTTCTGGTAACCATCAGTTTGTTCTCTATAGCTAAGAGTCTGTTTCTTGGTTTGCCTCTCTCTTTTTTCCCCCATGATCATTTGTTTAGTTTCTTAAATTCCACATATGAGTGAGTCATGTGTTCAATCTTCTTTACTATGGCTATGCATTTTGGTTTTGGCACAAATCATTTATTTAGTCTTTTGACTAGATTTTTCAGACTTTGGATATAATCAATCTATCAGCACTCAGTAGTGCTAAATATACTAAAGTATATATACTAAAGTACTGCTATACTAAAGTAATGCTTAATATAATTCTACTTCCTAAGCTGGAAATACACACCTGTATATACTAAGCAACTAGCAGGTGGCTTACCTAAAGAAATGGTGAACAGGATGAATAGGACTGGGAACTAAAACTATGATTGCGGTGGTCAACTCACTATAGTCCATGGGAGGTATGGTAACTGTAGCAATACAATCAATTATTTTATGCTCCTCATTGCCTAGTCATCATTGAAAATAGCCCTTCCTGTGTGAATCATGCATGTGATATAACACAGATTAGCACTGGGCAAGGGTGAGGAGGAGAGCAAAGGGAAGATGAATAAAATTTAGGAGACAAAATTTAAAAATGCACTTGGGATAGCAGAGTTATGGATTACAAGATACTAGAGAAAGTAGACCACTTAGCTGTTAAGGTTATCAGAGATAGTTTGGTTCATTCTGAACAAACCAGAAGCACAAGCAGTGATACCACTAACAGGTCCTCAACTAGACTGCCTTTGAAATGATCAACAAAATGAAAAGTCTTTGAAAAAGATTAGGTTCCTGATTGTAGAAATAAGTAGTATGCATAAAAAGTATAAAGAAACTGGTGCCTGAGTGGGAAAAGGATAAGTTGTTTAGATGTTGTCAGAGAGGAGTAGAAGCACTGTCTCAAACTCCAAGTAAATAAAAGTGTATGTCTCCAGAAATGGCAACTAAGATGAAGATGAAATAAATTCTCTATGAAACATGTGACTACTAGCACCAAGCTCACCTGGAGGACTAGGGCTGAAGTGAATCAACACTTCTGAAATCCAGGACCTTAAAACGGTTGTTTCCTCCATCACCAACTTTACCCTATGTCTTTGAGAATTTCATGGAATCAATGCTTTCAACTGTTCAAAATTACAAAGTCTATGATGAGTATAATGTATTTGTGTTTATCTTTCTCTTCTATGGTGACACGTTCATTTCTTAAGGGACGCTTCAATAAGAGTGGAAACAGAAAACAAACTTTTTGCCTACTGCCCATTTCCACTTGTGCCTGGGCATCACTAGGCAAAGCCCCTCTAGGGTTCTAACCTCTTAAATCCTGTTGCGTGCGAGCACCACCCATGCTCTGTCTCGGCATTCGAAGAGAAGTTCTCAAAGGTGTGTGTCTCTGCTCATCCAGGTAAGCAAGGTCTTCCAAGTGGGCAGAGCTTGTGGCTGACAAGACAGAAAAGGTTAGTCAGAATATGTAAGTTTAGAAACCTATCATTAGTCTATATCTCCCAAACTTGGGAATCGGAGCTTACTCTGACATATACATTTACTAAGAGTTTGCTGAACTCACAGTCCTCAATCAGCATCCAGAACATGTGCTGGGGGAAAGTGTTAAGAGTTGTCTTCAGCTCCTTCATCACTATCAACTGCCTGAACTTATGAAGAGTATAACAACAAGTTGGCAAACACATTAGTACCTGACAGCAACAATTATTAGTTTTACCTTCTTTGGGGTCACAAATACCTTTACACGACAAGGCATAAACATCATCAGTGGAGAAACATGTTCCAAATTATATTTAGCTATAAGAAAAACAGGAGGCTCTGTCTTCAACATCTTCCCTTCATGCTAAAGAATGAAATATGAAAACATTCTAATTTTTTTTAATTAATTAATTAATTAATTTATTTATTTATTTATTTATGATAGTCACACACACAGAGAGAGAGAGAGAGAGGCAGAGACACAGGCAGAGGGAGAAGCAGGCTCCATGCACCGGGAGCCTGATGTGGGATTCGATCCCGGGTCTCCAGGATCGGGCCCTGGGCCAAAGGCAGGCGCCAAACCGCTGCGCCACCCAGGGATCCCTGAAAACATTCTAAAAACAAGTTTCACATGTGTATGTATATCTGTTGGAGAGACGGGCACCAGGACAACAGATAGAGAATTGCTAAAGAGTGTTTAGGGAACTGCCAATGTCCACGAATTTCAAAAAACATTTAGTTGCCCTCTGAACATAGGTAATAATGGCCCCCGTTACATGTATAAACCCTTCAATCTTGTGACAACAGAAAGAGGAAAAATGGCATGGGTATTTGCACTGCTATATATCGAGAGCTGTTAGGTCTATTCACAATGAACCAAAAAGTGAAGAAATTAAGAAGGAAGCGTTGAAGACAAAACAGTTTTTAATAACAAGAACTATAACAACAACAACAAAACCCTCAAACTTCTGTCAGAATATAATAATTTAGAGCTTATAAATTATTAATTAAATGGTTCAATTTGTTGCCAGTTATGTACAATATCATGCCAGGCGTTATTCAGTTCTTCAATGGCAATTATTTACCAAGAGCTTACAGTGTGCCAGTCCCTGTTCCTGATGCCCTTCTTGGCTTAGCTGCCAGTTTACCTTTGGTGACTGTTTTGAGTGGGTGAGAGGAAGCAAAATGAGATCACTCTTGGCCACAGAGCTCTAATGAAGTACTTACTGTCCATATCCCCAGTTGAGACAAGACACAAACAACAATCTAAGGTGGAGTATGACTAAGTGGCACAAAGAAAGTCACAAAGTGCTCTCTGAGCTGAAAAAGGAGGAGAAAAAACAGAAAAAACAGAACAGAGGTAGAGAAAGAAAGGAATAAGAGAATATGTGCAAGAGATGTATTCTCTTCATTCTTTACTGCAATTACTTCAGTTACTTGGGTCTACTAGAAATCTAGACAAAAGGAATTTATCCAAATTTATAGATATAGATATAGTTTCTATTAGGAAATAAAAGTCTCTGAAAGCTAGTCTAGGGAATTAACCAAGAGAAGGAAGTCAAATGCCACATTACACATCAGCGGGAGAAAGTCTCAGAGGAATAAGAGATAATCGTGACTTCCCCATTCTGAAATTAAAACTATCCAGTATAGATTACTATTTAATCTTTTATTTAAAAACACTGGAGACAATGACTCTTACAGCATTCCCACTGGGAATGTAACAGAGGAATAAGAGATATTCTTGATCTCTGCATTCAGAAACTAAAAAACTATCCAAAAAAGATTACATAATCTTTCATTTAAAACCACTGAAGACAATGACTCTTACACCATTCCCACTGGTACTCTAATGTGGTTCTGTGAATTGGTTCTTTCTTATGTTTATTAGTCCCTCCCGCTTTAATCATAATTTGTGGAAGGAAGGAAGGAAGGAAGGAAGGAAGGAAGGAAGGAAGGAAGGACGGACCCTCAGAATTACTATCCCCGTAGAGCCCTCCTTGGAGATGGGAAATATCAGCATCAGCTGAGCAGAGCCCCTTGCACAGAGATACGAGTTTCAGCTTTGTAGGGTTTTTCCTCCAACCTTCTATGGTTTAATAATTCCAACCTCTTCTTGTTCTATGGGCTCAGAGGTGGTAGCTGCTTCTTGCAGTCCATGATACCTCGGTGTTTTCTTTTTACTTTTTCAGTTCATTTAAACATAGTCAACCATTCTTTCCATATCAGATTTTCTGGTAAAATAACTGTGGTTTTTGTCTCCTGGCTAGCCCCTGACTGATACACCACAGAAAATAACAAGGAGCAATCCTTACATATATGTGATGTTGATAATAAATAAAGTAATAACACAGCAAGAAGATGTGAAAGTTATCTTAATGCTCATCTAGTTCAGAGGTCAGCACTCTAAGGCCTGTAGATGAAATCTGGCCTGATGCCTATTTTTGTAAATGAAGTTTTACTGGAACACAGCCTTCTTGCCTGTTTGTTAAGTATTCATTTACAACAGAGTTGAGTAGTTGTGAGAGAGGCCATATTGGCCTGCAAAGCCTAAAATACTTACCAACTGGCCTTTTAATAAAAAGTTTGTTTATCCCAAACTAGTCAAATCCCTTCATTTTATAGATAAGTACTGTAGAGTGACTTGTCTACAGTGAAACACTCATTTATGGTAGATCCAGGCCTTGAAACCAGCTATCTGGTCTGTTAATCCAGTGAGTGCTATGTATTTGTACTGCACCTCTTACCATTCTTTAAAGCTAACTGGATTTAATTCTTCCTTAAAAGTCTTATTTTTCAGCCCTTCCACATCTTTGTCACTTTCCCTGTTTTTTTATGGCTTCAAAGAGCAGTAATCAAAGCTGGGCAATAAAGACTTTGTAATGCAAACTGAAGGTGCTTGTGTAGTGCAGACTAATAAATCTCTACACTTCAAATATTTCCCACAGTAAGAAACAACAAATTAAAGCTCCAAAATTTATTTTTTAATAAGAAAAATACATATAAGGTACTTTCTAAAGCTGATAAACTGAAGAGTAATATGCAAAGAATTATCAATGACAAGTAGAATCTTCTACTCACATTAAAACAAAATTCAAATGAAACGTTTAATAGTTGAAAGTGTGGTAAGTTTTGGGTTACTGCTACGGCAATATTAACAGTACATTATATAATTTTAAAGCAAGGTTCTCTTATTAAAACTGTTCTATATGCCAATGCACTAAAATAGTTTGATACGTTGTAATAAAAAGAAAATGTATATTTCATTAATAGAGGGTGGAATGATACGGTGGAGGAAAAAAGCTGTGGTTAAGGGGAAAAAGCTCTTTTATCTATATTATATTCATCTATGAATCTTTTAAAGATTAAACTCAGGGAGATCTATACTCTGAGTACAGATCTGAGTAACAGATAATTCATTTAATTTCTCTTTACTGAAAAGACCCGCTGGCAGGTACTACTAGCCGCAGCCTCGGATAGGTTCATCTTCCAATTCAAAGAGCTTCTGGCAGCATTTGTTAATATAAATGTTTAGTGTAAAGTTAACAAACTTTGCTAAATGAATCTTCACCATAGTAATTCCTAGGAAAACAGACATCAACTGTTCTATTGCTTTATTTCACAAAACCAAGAAATGTAGTTGTGTATGTGTGTGTGTGTGTGTGTGTGTGTGTACATGGCAGATCTACAGGGACACACATATTACTACTTCACAGTGGTACTCTTACTGGGAAACTGTCCTGGTAAATTTTTTTGACATAGTTCCATCAAGTTAAATTAATACTAAAATATTTAGTGGGGATCCCTGGGTGGCGCAGCGGTTTAGCGCCTGCCTTTGGCCCGGGCGCGATCCTGGAGACCCGGGATCGAATCCCACGTTGGGCTCCCAGTGCATGGAGCCTGCTTCTCCCTCTGCCTGTGTCTCTGCCTCTCTCTCTCTCTGTGTGTGTGTGACTATCATAAATAAAAAAAAATTAAAATAATAAAAAAATAAAATATTTAGTGAACACTTTCCAGATACAAGCATAGAAGATAATTAGGTAAGTCAAAGTGAACTGAAGAAAGAGGAAAAACAAATCTACAATAAAAAATTTTATGTGAAAAAAATGCTTTAAAAAGTAAACATCTATGTAAAATCTATCTCTAAGTAAAATTTATTTCATTAAAAATTCTTGATTTCAGAGAAGAATGAGGGAAGTGGAAAAAGAGAGCATATATATATATATATTTTTTTTTTGAGATCCAATCAAAAGATTGAAACAGTTGATTCATTTATATATAACATTTAACTGACATACTTTTTTGAAGTCAAAATAACAAATAAGCAGGCAGAAAAAAATCCAGCAGACAACCTTTGGTACAAAACATTCCAGAGGCAACTCTATATTGAGTATGAAACCAGTTTGAATTGTTTCTTCTTATATCATTTGTCACTAGTGCAAAGAGATTTTGGTAGCACAACTGTCGTTCTAGCTGAGCTGAGAAGGGAGTTTGGAATGATGTTATGTTGCTATAGCCTGGGCAAGAAGCCACTCTGCTGTCCTTACACCCTTGATTCATAAAGCCAACATTCTGACTGCTGAAAAGCCCATATTTTATTCTTTATAAAATCCTGATTATAGCTTCTGATTGGATTCATCTAAATCCCTCATGATTCCAATTTTCCATTTACCTGATTCTTAAGATCCTTTTCTTAGGAAAATGAGCAGCTCCAAACTTTAACAAATAGATGGTAAGAGTTTATATTTTAACTGACTACCACTGCTTTTATGTTTTCTTGATAGACTCTTCACATTTTCACACAAAGCATTGAGGACAGCTGCTGCAAGTGAGTATTTCCTGCTTCCACATCCTTCCAATTCCCAGCCAATGTCATTTTATTTTTAAATTTTTTTTTAAAAAAATTTATTTATTCATTCATGAGAGAGAGAGAGAGAGAGACAGAGACACAGGCAGAG